GCCACTTATTACACTTAATTTAGTTAGAGCATTTGTTTGTATAAGGCCAAAAGGGACATACCAAGACTGGACTCGTTCTCACCACTAAGGACTTGGAAAAGAAAGTCTACCTCTACCTAAATACTTACCTTTTACAGCACTTAAATGAATAGATACACTCAATAGATTCAAACCCGCTCTATGGTGTTGTTGGTAACATAGAGCTTTTACAAAAACGTTTTCTACTGAAATCTTGACACAAATGTAATAGATAGAGGATAGTATTGCGTATAATCGATTACGTACCTACTAAAGACACTGAATTTCAAAACTAAAAGCTCTACAGGCAATTTTAAGGTCCTTTCAACACGAGAATGTAGAGTTGTAAAATTCACCCTTAAAAATCTGATCTTGTTCGATGGTTGCGTTAATCTTCAAGTCCACGAAACAGAAACACAAAATGGCAGGGATTCCAAGTAAGTACTTCAAAGCAGTATTTCTATAAGAAGTACAATAGTAAGAAGCATGGTGGGTAGACAATGGTGTTTCGCACCATGGCTCCTCCCACGGCGTAACGGGACTGCGAGTGCGCGCGCGCAACCAGGCCAGATTAGTATCGTGCGTGCACTACATTGTCTGCTTATGCAGTTTATCCAACTGATGCAACGATTAATGCAGTAAAGTTTTTCTATTCATCATGGTAGCGTTGATGTTGATAGGTTAAATTGTGTGAAGGCATGCATTTTTACTAGTTTAATTCTACAGTTCTGCGGCCAAATCGTAATAGATTTTTTTAATTATCGTGTTTGAAAGTTATCATAATATTTTACTATTCATGAACTCTCTATTTTACAGGAAAAATTGAAGGAAAATGCGGAAACCAAGTTCAAGACTGATCATCGGGTAGTTCATGAAATACCTACCCGTGTTGTGTGTTTATTTTATATTTCATATCAAATCACTACTTTCCTTGTTTTTCTCTCAAAAATTTCCAAAGGTTTTAGCAATGTCCTGAACTCCTGAAGCATTATAATGACAAGAAAACCTAAAATTGAGTATGACCATCATTTAGAAAATAAATGTTACTTTTAAATCGAGTAATTTCAGGTTTTGTGCTAATTAACGACGTCTAACGCTAAACATTCCTAGAAAATGCGATTGATAGTGTTTGCATAGGACATGAACCAAAGACTAAATGAAGACACTGAAGTTTCTGTTAGTACCTACTTAGGTACTCCTAACTGATTAAGTGGCTATGATGATGATAAAAATCTTACTCTTTGTCGTCATGACACTTCATGACAAAAACTCTAAAAGAAAATCAGTATTTTTTTAGATCTTGATATATTATTATGTAAACCAACATAAATCTCTCACAGCTGTTTGTTGTGTATTAATATTAGAAGATCCGCCTACTTATTGTTTGATTTAGTGGTGCGAGTTTTGTCTTCACGAGAGAGTGTTCAACAATAGGCCTGTCACATCAAATAACTTTTTTCCTATGTAACAATATTTTAAAAATGTTTTGACACAGTTTCAGAGATGTGGGTGTGCTATGGTTGGCACTTTGTTAAGACACTTGCTACGATATCTTATTAGGTATATGTGGTTAGAAGATCGTCCAAACTCTACGTTTATAAAACCTCATTGCTAATGTCATTTTCATAATTTTAATGCACATCATTATAGTTAATCATCCAATATTTTAATTTGCTATGTTAACTTTATATTGGTGTTAATTATGTTGTGAATAATAAAGTTGAGTCGTGTCGTATCATCAACATGCGTTAAAATGATTGCAAACCAAATGACCTAATTACAACTCCCACGCAGATTCCTAGCCTCGACGATAAAGATTCTGATGACTACTGTAATACTTGCCAAAGGTATAGAATAGTCATAAGGATACCCAGCTGTATTCTAGAGCCACAGATAGAGTATAATTTTCCTTTAAATACTAATTATGTGCCAAAAAAATGTTTTAGGTGTAAGTGGATGCGTTAGTTTTGTGTTCAGGAATGGGACTATTTATTTTCCACCTCTCGTTCACACCGCTGCAACTCCTGTGTAGCCAGGATCTACAGCTAGACCGCAATAAAAACCCAACCAGTGAAGGTCAAGATAAATTTTTGTTATCAGGTAGACAGTGGGTAAGTATTTTAAGCTGCTTACACAGAGCGCTGGACGCAGGCCGCTACCAATCGATCAACATGGAAAGCATTGGGGGAGGCCTATGTTCAGCAGTGGACGTCCTGTGGCTAAAATGATGATGATGACACAGAGCGCTGCTGACTGTTCTCTGTTTGATTTGTAGTCCTTAAGGGGTACTTAATTTTAAGCTCAGAGCCTCTTATACACATTTTTGCACGATAAAATCAATAAAATGGGCAACCCTATGACAACCGGCCTACTTGCGAAGAAGTGTGGTTTTGGCTGTGTTTCGAACGCTTGACGTCACGGGAAGAAGGGCTATTCGTGTATTCGGCTATTAAAAGATCGAACTTTACTCTTAGATCGTAGTTATACGGTACTTAACCTAGTTTTGCCGGAGATTGATCGGAAACCATTTTTTTTAGAAACTATTCGAAACAAAGGTTTTCAAAGGATTGGGAGCTTTTTACTGCGATTTTAGAGCGATATTGTGTGGAAATCATTGTGGGAGGCGTATCTATGTTCAGCAATTGACGTCCTGTGGCTAAGATGATGATGATGATCCCGAACCCGATAGCGCAAAAAAATATAAGTACGTTAAATTAATTTTACATCTCAATTGATTTTTTGTCCTAAAATAGTATCTAAGTAGCTACTTTGACTGTCAATGTTGATGTTCATTTAAATAATAGGCTATGGTAAAAATTAACTGACATGATGAGAGGATACTTGAACTTTGCAATCCGGCCTTGATCATAGGTAGGTAGGTAGGTACTAACCTATTACAGTTTTCAGCTGTTTTCCTATTTCATGTATCTAGGTACCTAGGCTAGATGTTTTACAAACTTACCCCCTTACTAATAAAACTTACACGCTCGGTGATCAGTGTTTTAAAGTGACGTTTAGTATGGAAATGTCATTTTAAAACAGTGATCAACAACTGTGTAACTTTTTATTAGTAAGGGGGTTAATGTTTATTCACTGTGTGTTCATTAATAGCTTTATTACGAACTTCATACAGTTGCGCCTATTCATGTCCGTTTATTTCACTTTTTGTTTCATCGAAACAAAGACGTGTTTACAGTGGATAGAGCCTCTAAAAAAGAAACCTAGGAACTAAAAACCCCAATCGTTCAAGGCAGTAGAAAGGAAACGTACATGTATCGCTAAGCAGCCGCAGTCGGCTAAAAGTGGATCTCCCGCCAAAACGGAGTAACACAAAGTAAGTGCTCAGTCGTCCAATCAAAGCGGTTCGCGCCCTACGTCCGCTCACGCTTCTTTATCACATCGCGATAATGATTTCGAAGCGGTCGCACACGATAAACAATAACAAAATTTACTTAAAACCGCCCGCATTGACAGTTCGCTCATAGCACACCCGACCTTCGCGCCGCGAGCACATCCTCAGTGCATCCCGCATTAAAATAAATAAAATACACAATAAATAAAAAGACGAAAACCGCAGCCGGTTTGGTTCCTTCGCGTTGTTGATCGAAAAGAAGTAAAAAAATCAGGCGCACGCAAAACGAAACATTGTATCATGAAACTTCAGTTAAGTTTGAATGTGGTGTAGTTTTAAAATTAAATAAAGTTAACCGTGAGTTTTAGTGCAAGAAGAAATGAGTTAAATAAATGTGGATTGGGAAAGTGATTGCAAACGCACATCCTACAAACCTCCATTGATAGAATATTCAACAACTTTCGTCTGACCCGGCTTGGAATAAATGTAAGTGTTATTAGTTTAGTTGATTCCTATCACGTGTAATGGGGTTTACGGATAATAACCACAGATTGGTTGTTGCCGGTTTGCTGATAAAAAGTTATAAATGTCGGATAATTGTTATGACCTTAAATTCGGGTTTATCTAATCGAGTAAGTAACTTGTGTATAAACTCTTCGTGTTTAAAAAAAACTATTTAGTTTTTATAATTTAATGTCATTCAACTATTTTTTTCGTAATTAATGACCATGGCATAAGTAGCAGTGTTCGTATACGAAGTACAAACATGGTTAAAAGTTGAATAGAAACCTACTTATTAAACTATAGTTAAATAAATTACTTTAACATCTTCTAGCAGTTAAATGTTTATAACGACTTAGGTACTTACCTACTCATACCATATACTACGTATCTATTTAATTAATTTTTAAATATTTCTGTTTATTGCTCACAATTATGCATCATCATTTAATTATCAATTAATTGGTGGTTAAAATTCTGCAATAGCAATTAACATGAAAACTGTTGTTCGCGCCTTTTTGCATCAAAATAATTTAACATATTCCATAATACCAGGATAAAAACAGGTATAATTATCAACGACCTAATTTTGGTCGATAAATTTATTACCTAAATGATTGCAGGGTATCAAAGTAGGTAACGCTTATTTAGAGGACCAGGGTTTGATTCCCAGTTGTTGCCCGGTCATGACCTTTCAAAAGTTTGGAGGATAACTCGAATAAAATTACTTTATGGATGCCGGCCGGTTCCGAGTCATAAGTCTATGAAAGCCTAGATTGCCAGTAAATAATAACAAATCATGAATGTTTTGGTTACTTTTTCTAAGCTAAGTAGGTATTTCAAGTTTTGAAAAAGAAATCAGCATCCGTCGATCTTCAACTTTTTTCCGTTTATTATTTTGTTACTTATCATATTCGTATCCTGGCCCCTCTTGTGTGCCTCTGCTTCTGCCATGACCTTCTGAATTTCTAATTTATCTCTCCTTAACTTTATCTCAATAATTTGTGATCGGCTCTACACTTGAGCACAGACAAAAAATGATTTTAGCAATTCGCGTAGAACAGTGCCTCAGCGAGCGCAAAACTTTCTCTTTGACGTCATTTTACTTCTGTATCAACAATANTGCAAACGTATATCCTACAAACCTCCATTGATAGAATATTCAACAACTTTCGTCTGACCCGGCTTGGAATAAATGTAAGTGTTATTAGTTTAGTTGATTCCTATCACGTGTAATGGGGTTTACGTATAATAACCACTGATTGTTTGTTGCCGGTTTGCTGATAAAAAGTTATAAATGTCGAATAATTGTTATGACCTTAATTTCGGGTTTATCTAATCGAGTAACTAATAGGTAGGCACACAAGTTTAAAAAAAATAATTTCGATTTTATAAGTAATTTAATTTAATACATTCAACTAATTTTAGTAAAGACCATGACATAAGTAGCAGTGTGCGTATACGTAGTACAAAACATGGTTAATTGAATAGAAACCTACTTATTTAACTATAGTTAAATATTACTTTAATATCTTCTAGCAGTTTTAATGTTAATAATACTTACCTACTCATAGTACCATACGTACGTATCTATTTAATTAATTTTGAAATATTTCTGTTTATTGCTCAGAATTAAGTATGTGTTACGGTCAAAGTGATAAATGTGAAAATTATGAATAATCGCCGGTTATTATGAATAATTACCGCATGATTTGGTAAATGTGATTAATATGAGGTCATTTATGTGTGTATAAAACTAAATAGGCGGCTTAGGGGTGGCCCAAGGGCCACCCCCGCCGCACCTTAACCTATTTTTCGCTTTAAATCAAAACATTATGTTATAGGCATCATCGAAAAGTAATATTATGCAAGAAACATTCCAAACTCATTATGCCAAATTATATTAATATACGATATCAAAACGTTCAAAAGTTTGGCTGTACACGAGCATGTACACAAGATGTTGTTCTCTTTTATGAAATTTGTTAGTACTAAGGTTGAATTATTAAATAATCACTGTTAAATGTGATTAATTTATCACTTTTACCGCGACTGTCGGTAATTATTTATAATAACCGGTTATTATTAATAATTTTCAATTTATCACATTAACCGTAACATATGCATGATCATCATTTAATTACCAATTAATTGGTGGTTAAAATTCTGAAATAGCAATTAACATGATAACTGTTGTTCGCACCTTTTTGCATCAAAATAATTTAACATATTCGATAATACCAGGATAAAAACAGGTATAACTTCAACGACCTAATTTTGGTCGATAAATTATTACATAAATGATTGCAGAGTATCAAAGTATAATGCTTATTTGTAAAATGGACCAGGGTTTGATTCCCAGTCGGTGCCCGGTCATGATCTTACAAAAGTTTGGAGGATAACTCGAATAAATATTACTTTATGGATGCCGGTCGGTTCCGAGTCATAAGTCTATGAAAGCCTAGATTGCCAGTAAATAATAACGAATCATGAATGTTTTGTTTACTTTTTCTAAGCTAAGTTATTTCATGTTTTGAAAAAGAAATCAGCATCCATCGATCTTCAACTTTTTTCCGTTTATTATTTTGTTACTTATCATATTCGTATCCTGGCCCCTCTTGTGTGCCTCTGCTTCTGCCATGACCTTCTGAATTTCTAATAAAATGTATCTCTCCTTTCTCAATAATTTGTGATCGGCTCTACTCTTGAGCAGAGACGAAAAATGATTTTTAGCAATTCGCGTAGAACAGCGCCTTAGCGAGCGCAAAACTTTCTCTTTGACGTCATTTTACTTCTGTATCAACAATACCCTTTATGGATGCGCCGCGTTTTCGGAAACGTTTATAAAATAAGGCTAACAGGCTTATTATAAGAAAACTAAAAAAAATTGAAGAGACTACTCGAATTTATAATTGAGAAGAGTCATTCTTGAGAATTCTTGAGAGTCTTCTAAGAAGTGCCCAAAAATAACAGTTGCTGAAAACGAAACCCTAATTCTGTTCTAACTACCTACTTCTTTAAAAACATTTAGTTACCTCTAGGTCTCTAGGTACTAATAAAATACACAAGGACCACACGAGGGTTTTGTTGACCCTTTGGAGGTCAAAACGAGGTAGCCGGCTTGTTATTCAAAACAATATGTTTACATCATATCGATTCGCTTTTGGCTTGGTGTCTGTATATGTGCAGGTAGGTAACTTTGCATTGCATCTATAAAGTATATTTAATAACTTTGTCTTGAGGTCTTGAGTCATGGCAATAATAATTTCGAGAAATTAGAATAAACCAATCGTGTCTGTAACAACTTATTTCAAAATTTTTGTTTGTAGTATTCTACTTATTAGTTACTTACTTATTAGTATCTAAGTAAAACGCAAAAGTAAAAAATTCAATACAAATCGACATCATAATAAACGTTTGTGTTATTGTGGCAATGAATGGCCCCAACCACGCCTCTAAGACGACCTATTAAATCAGTCATTAGCTTCAAATTCTGTACGAGCCATGAGTGTTCGTAAAGTGTGACCTCAAAACAAGTAAGTCATATACATACAATGAATTTGTTATTTGAAACGTTTTAGGCGTCGATTAGAATAAAGTTAATGCTAATATGTCTACCTATGTTACAAGTATATTCGTAACTACAAATTGACTCTATGTAAAGTAAAGGAATATCTCCACGTTTACCTTTCAAAAGTTCATATTCATAGTAAAATTCAATGAGTAAGCCAGTTCATTCTAATCGATAAAAGACTGCATTGATAGGTATCTTGAATAGTTAATGTGAACTACTTGCATAATTTATGCGAAACCACAGGGCTGGCAGGCGATTAGCATATCTATTCAGAATAACAACGGAGAAAGTTAAGTAAACCCTGATGTGTTATTGAACAGGAATCCTAGCAATATTATGAGAAGATGGTACTCGTTCTAGATTGCTTTAAATTGGTGTTGTTTGTCTCTCGTTAAAATAATTTATAATATTGGTCTTCTTTATTCCATATTGGATCTTATTAGCGTGCCACAATAGCTAACATATGTATGACAGTAGCTTTCTGGTGCATTTTATGAAGAGTATTCTGTATGTAAAAGGTTTTTAAAAACTGCTTCTAAGCCTCGTTCTTCTATAATTTGGGCATTTGCAAATTGCCAAGAAGACTTGCTTGGATATTTTAAAATTGATTGAATACTGTCAATAACTTTATAATTTTACATGGGCCATGGCGAACAGCAACTAGGTTTCTTGACCCTTAATAATCTTTGTGTCCTCGTAGGTATGATATTCTAGTCGTGTTTAATATGTCGTGTTTAATATAAGTAAAAATGTTGTGTGCTCTACTTCTTGTTGTTTGTAAATAAAAACCGAAGCAAATATTCAATGAATCAAGGCCTGTACACTAACGTATTACTAATAGTCGATCAGTCAGGGTATCAGACATTGTGTAAATATGCTAATAAGTATGTAGATAAGGTTATGTGCAAGTATTAGAAATCTAGGGCATGTTGCCTTTATTATGTACTAACTTTATGTTCATAAAAAGGAAACATTCCTCGTTACTGTTACTGCCTATCGTGGAAATAATGGAAAGCTAATGTTATATAAATATTATTTATTAACTAGAACCTATGTCGTAATACGGATGAGTAATATAATTTTTATAATAGGTAGGTAATTAGCTACACGACATAATTATTATCGGATTTTTTAGTCGTAAGTAAGCATACTTACATGACCTATTAATTAGATTTACTAACTATAAAATAAAATCATCTAAGTAAGGTGGACATGGATTTGGATGAAAATTAGGATAGCTTGGTTTGTCTTCCCTTAACGTCGTTAAGAACTATAGAATCCTGCATTTAGTTGGCTTGTTAAGTTTTAGTTCAATCATCATTAAAAAACTGCCGATCATTTGAGTATTTAAGATGATTGAAAATTATGCCATAGAATGTTGAATAAATCAAGCCCATATTGCTGCAGTCGCGTTAATAGGATAATCACAGAAAAGACGTCAATAGTTATACCATATCGCGTGCGCGTGCGACTGCGCGAAGCGTGGTTATTATCTGTTCCGTCAGCTGGTTCCGCTGATAGCTTGTAGAAAAACAAACATTATTTTTTCCTAGACAGTTAAACAAAATATATTACGATCTAGTTATTAATTATTTTCTAGATACCAAAAATTGTTGGTCTTCATATCATAATTATGGATTACTACTGCTTAGTGCTGAGGATACAATCCCGGAGTTCAGTTCAAGCCAGCAATTTCACATGTGTAAACTCTTACAACCCTTTCAAGGTAGGTAGGTACAAGTGGATAGGCATATTCTTGGCAATCCCGCTTCATCATAGAACGCATCTGCAGCTTTCAGGCATAGCTTCAGGTGAGATTGCGATCAAGAGTCAACCCACGAGTATATCTCAAGACTTGCTGACTGAGGAGTCGCTTTTTATGGCACACGTAGCATTGAGACATCACAGCTTAGTTAAATCCAAACGACTAAACGTAATCACACAAGCCAATACTTTTGGCTCAACTCATTGTCCGCCTAGTGCTAATTCCTTAATGATGCTCCAACAAGACAGTTATTGGTACAATAAGTGTTTTATGATGTGTTATGACAGTTGATTGGTCTCGCGGAAGTATTGCGGCGAGTTCCGCACCGACTTCGTTCCGCTACCGTTACGGGCGTTACGCTCACACGCGGGACCCGCGGCGACGGGAACCGACCGGAAGCCGATCGGCAGGGAAACTGCTTGGTTCTAGATTAGTCGTCGGACATGCACTAAGTGCATCATACAGAACGAAGCTCAAAACTTAACTAAATCTATATCTATAAAAGCGAAAGATCGCTGATTGACTGACTGACTAACTCACTCACTCATCACGAAATCTTAGAAACTACAAGTGCTGGAGTTTCAAATTTTGCGTGGGGGTTCCTTTTAAAACGTAGGTGCTCACTAAAAACGGATTTTACGAAACTCCACCCCTAAGTCGGTAAAACGGGATCCACGAGTTCCTTGTGGTTGTACCTATCTAGGATTTATAATAAGCTCTAATAAAAAATGATTATCAAATTTCCTTTATGAAGTAAACAAACATAGTAGGCATACTGGTTATGGTCAGCCCAGCAATTTGCTATGGCTCTATTTGTATAAAGGCATAGTTTGTGTTGCCACCGAGCCCATTGTTTGTGTTATCACACATAATTTAGACCGATGCAAACAACTGTATCGATTGCGACAGTTTCCTCTTTGTTATGTTGGTACATGTGTTACTTAAATGTTTACCTACACACGGGATATTTTTCCTTCCAATACCCATTTAGTGGAACGTGGTATTCTAAAGGAATATTGTGTAAGTTTCTTAAAAAAAACCTATTTTTTTTGTGAGTCTGTACCGATATTTGTTTATAAGAGTTATGTACAAGTTATGTAAAAGTAAGTAGTTTCTTTGTTAAGTAATGCGCCTTTACCAAAAGTGTTACTATCTTCTCATCTTGGGAATAAACAAAATCTAATACTTATTAGGCTATTTCTGGGCCTGAAGTTCTGGTTCTGGCTACTTTTTCCCGAGACCATAGAGCGTTTTCAAGAACTTACAGACTTTTTGGTGGTCTATTTAAGATGACTGACATTCACTAATAAAAAAAAAGTTAAAAAGTCCGCGAAACCATACGTCAAAATTATCTGTAAAAAAATTATAAACTTCAAAATATAAAAAATATAAATGAAACCATGAATGAAACCAAATAAGTACATACAAGTAAACAAATACGTTAAGAAACAACAACATATTTTTAACACCGTTTTCCTCCTTCCAGGTAAACATGGGCAGCCGATGGATTCTGTTGCTCGTGGTTGCAGTGAACCTGGTGCACTGCAATGAGAACGAAATCAAGGATCCCACGCCAATTGTGTATGAGTAAGTGTAGAATAATAATAAATTATTAAGTGAAAACTCATAAAACAGTCATAAAGTGATTTATTAACTGCAAGTGATTAGGTACCTGTACCTATTATCAAAAATTTATAGACTATGAGCGAAGTCCATCTCGAAAGAGACCTTTACTAGTAGATATTGAGCACACAATATATTTTCTCAACGTCTTGTGTTAGGTATGTAAGAGTATGTAAGTCATGTATCCGTTTTTAATGATGAATTTGAGGGATCCGCTAATGTACTTAACAGACTATTAGATTGCATCGTCCATGAGTGTTTTTGCAGATGTCTTTGAATCGACTTTGAAGATACTTTTTGTACAGTCATTCATTATAATTATCAGTTAAAACAATTAGTATCGGACATCAGTTCTTAGTTTTTTAAGTGTTTATGACGTTTTGAATAGATATCGTACTTACCCGTAAAAAATCATATCAATGTTACCTTCCAAGGGTTCAAATAATGTTAGATTTTTTTAAAGATTTCACTTAACCGTTATTGTTCAAATAAGTAAGTTTGGATGTAAAATCTTGTAAACATAATCTCTTATACTGGCCCAATATCTGCGAATAGCCAATTAAGACAAGCATTTTAACTTGGTTACATATTTACTTAAAAGCATTAACACAGAATAAATAATAGTACCAGCATTAATTTGTTTTGAATTTCTTTTGCAGACCATCATGGGTTTTTAAATGCATCCCGAACGTGGGTTGCCAACGAGCAGCGCACCCTCAGTCGATGATGACCACAAACTCTTCGCACGTCTTCTACGACAGCATAGATCTGTGCAGGACGGTCTGCGGAAGATTCGGGGGCATCTGGCCCAAGCCGCTGACGGCGGGACTTAGCATGCAGACGGTGCAGATGCATCCTACGCATCTTAGGTAAGTCTTCAGCATCATCCAGATGATGATCATCATCATCAAGTCTTCTTCAGTATTTTAAAANAGAAATCTTATTTGATACTCAATTAGGTACCTACTGTGTTTAAGATTTACTAATTCGTTAAGCATATTATCATATCGAAACCATGTAGGTAGCATATCGGAAGCATAATCAGATAGTGCCAATAATAAAAAGTCTATTTTTTTATTATCTAGTAGATATTATTATATTAACTACCTGACGGTATTTTTGATCTCAATTTTAATTAAATGTTTGGATGTTCAGAAAAAAGTACATGTTACCAAATAACACCTTTGTTGATGAAACGAATTTAGTGTATTTTATTGTTAATCAATTTAAACTACTATGATATAAATTTAAAAACATAAATATTATTATTTACAGTAAAAATGTAAAACTGTCACATCCGTGTCATGCACTGTCACAGCCGTGTTTACGTAGGCTATTTTGTTTCCTTTCCGAGGGCTTTAAGGTTGTCCATATACATCAAAAGTATGCTTTTGGTTTATACTTTCGATACACATCGCAAAAAGTTAAAAAAAAAACATTAATTTTAAAAAAAATTGGCACAAATTTAAGAATGGCCCATTTACACAAGCCAATACTTTTGGCTCAACTCATTGTCCGCCTAGTGCTAACTCCTTAATAATGCTCCAACAAGACAGTTATTGGTACAATAAGTGTTTTATGATGTGTTATGACAATTGATTGGTCGCGCGGAAGTATTGCGGCGAGTTCCGCACCGACTTCGTTCCGCTACCGTTACGGGCGTTACGCTCACACGCGGGACCCGCGGCGACGGGAACCGACCGGAAGCCGATCGGCAGAGAAACTGCTTGGTTCTAGATTAGTCGTTGGTAATGGACTAACACCTGTATTCACAAACGATGCTTGTTTAAGTGAAGCAGCAAATCGAACGCACAGCGTTGAATAGAGCTCTGTGATTCGTTCGTGTGTCACCCTGCGCGTCAACGCGCACAGTGAGGCCTCATAGTAATGTTTGTGAATACGGGAGTAAGTGCGTATTTGTAGAACGAAGTTCAAAAGTCGACTGAATTTCAAGCATGAGATGGTTTAAATAAAATTAGAAGAAACTAATTTTGTGAGTCTTGCACATGTTAGCCACATATAATCCTACATAGGTTTAATTAATAATCAAATTAAGTATTTAATCGCACCGTCACAATTGGCTACACTGTCGTAATCTTACAATCCTAATTGTTTTAAACCCACCTTGATTTAAAACTTTTTCCGAGTATCAACAGAATGGGAGAGGCCTGTGTCAAGCAGCACTGCTAGGTATAATGTATGATGATAGAAATTTAGGTGAACGTAGCCAGTGTATTCGTATTGATTCGTAAATGACATAATTTGTGCTGTTACTTTCACTTCCTGCTACTTCTAGTATTGATTGAAATGGTAATTTTGGAGGTTCCATGTGGTTGTTAATGTAGGGTTTAAGGTCTAATAAAAAACGACCATCAAATTCCATTATGTAAACATAGTAGGCATACTGGTTACAGTCAGCCCAGCAATTTGCTATGGCTCTATTTGTATAAAGGCATAGTTTGTGTTGCCACCGAGCCCATTGTTTGTGTTATCACACATAATTTAGACCGATGCAAATAACTGTATCGATTGCGACAGTTTCCTCTTTGTTATGTTGGTACATGTGTTACTTAAATGTTTACTCACGGGATATTTTTCCTTCCAATACCCATTAAGTGGAACGTGGTATTCTATTAAAGGAATATTGTGTAACTTTCTTAAAAAAAACTATTTTTTCTTTGTGAGTCAGTACCGATTTTTGTTTATAAGAGTTATGTAAAAGTAAGTAGTTTCGATTCGACCAATGCGCCTTTACAAAAGTGTTTCTATCTTCTCATCTTGGGAATAAACAAAATCTAATACTTATTAAGCTATTTCTGGGCCTGAAGTTCTGGTTGTGGCTACTTTTTCCCGAGACCATAGAGCGTTTTCAAGAACTTACAGACTTTTTGGTGGTCTATTTGAGATGACTGACATTCACTAATAAAAAAAGTTAAAAAGTCCGCGAAACTATACGTCAAAATTATCTGTAAAAAAATTATAAACTTCAAAATATAAAAAATATAAATAAAACCAAATAAAATAATCTTTAAACCTAAATAAGTGTACAAGTAAACAAATACGTTAAGAAACAACAACATATTTTTAACACCGTTTTCCTCCTTCTAGGTAAATATGGGTAGCCGATGGATTCTGTTGCTCGTGGTTGCAGTGAACCTGGTGCACTGCAATGAGAACGAAATCAAAGATCCCACGCCAATTGTGTATGAGTAAGTGTAGAATAGTAATAAATCATTAAAGAATAAATTAATATGAATATGAATATGAATAAGTGAAAACACATTGTTACAAATTGATTCAACAGTTATAAATTGATTTATAAGTGCTGCGGTACGATTAGGTACCTAAAAAGCAAATCAAAATCAAAAATTTATAGACTGAACGAAGTCCTCTCGAAAGAGACCTTTTCTAGTAGATACCTATTGAGCACACAATATTTCTCAACGTCTGGTAGAGATTCAATAAATTAAATATTGAAGATGGGTTAGTATGTATGTTGTCATTGTATCCATTTTTAATAATGAATTTGAGGGATCCGCTCACATTAGCGGATAGTACATCTTAACAGACGATTAGATTGCATCGTCCATGAGTGTTTTCTCAGATGTCTTTGAATCGACTTTGAAGATACTTTTTGTACAGTCATTCATTATAATTATCAGTTAAAATAATTAGTATCGGACATCAGTACTTAGTTTTTTAAGTGTTTATGAAGTTTTGAATAGATATCGTACTTACCCGTAAAAATTCATAACAATGTTACCTTCCAAGGATTCAAATAATGTAAATAATTTCACTTAACCGTTATTGTTAAAATAAGTAAAGTTTGGATGTAAAATCTTGTAAAATGTGCGAATAAAGCCAATTAAGACAATTTGGTCAAATATTTAAATAAAAGCATTAACGCAGATTAAGTAATAGTACCAGCATTAATTTGTTTTGAATTTCTTTTGCAGACCATCATGGGTGTTCAAATGCATCCCGAACGTGGGTTGCCAACGAGCAGCGCACCCTCAGTCGATGATGACCACGAACTCTTCGCACGTCTTCTACGACAGCATAGATCTGTGCAGGACGGTCTGCGGAAGATTCGGGGGCATCTGGCCCAAGCCGCTGACGGCGGGACTTAGCATGCAGACGGTGCAGATGCATCCTACGCATCTTAGGTAAGTCTTCATCATCATCAAGATGATCATCATCATCATCAAGTCTTTTTCAGTATTTCAAAAATAGTAGGGAACTGTACCCTGGAGAATTTGTGATAGTCACCACTCTTGAACTACTGCAGCATTGACAATTTTAGATACTGGAAGCATTTGGCAGAAACTGAAGTTGACAGGACCGAGTCCTTACAACTTAGTGTCTGCATACACTTAAATCTAACGCATCTCAGGATCCTTTGCGATATTGTATAAGAATTCTCAGGATGCTAAGAGTAATCTGAAGAATTTGTGAGGAGTCACAAACTCATAACTAAGCTAGACACAACTGTTGAAATTGCTAGATACTGGAGTCGTCTCCCAAGTCAGTTACGGCAGGTCTCATCATCATATAGACAGTGCAGAACTGCAGATCCTTTGCATCTTAGGTGACTAAGACTCCTCTTAGTCATCATCATCAGCATTAAAAAATATTGCAGTCCAGTGCTGGGCGGAAGCTTTCTCCAAGCTGGACCTTGACTCTTGAAGTTGTCATCCATCCTACGCTACATTTTCACTTCACTTCAGTATTTTATAAGAAACTAGCTGACCCGGCGAACTTTGTTCCGCCTTAATGGCAATAAATAACGGGATAAAAAGTATCCTATGTCCTTCTCCTGGCTCTAAACTACCTCCCTGACAATTTTCAGTTAAATCAGTTCAGCCGTTCTTGAGTTATAAGTGGAGTAACTAACACGACTTTCTTTTATATAATAGATTACAAAGATTACCGCTGGATAATTTGTGAAAAAGATGTCACAAATCACCTATCGGAGACATCTGACCGAAGGCACGGGCGATCTGTAGGCCTAAGATGCGCGCCGTGATAACTTTTATCGACGTCAAAATGTATGGGCAAAATCGATAAAATGGCGTGATAACCGCTTATCGCGGCGCGCATCTTAGGCCTACTGGTTTAGCTTATGTCATTTCATAAAAGGAAGTTATTAATATTGTCATGGAACACAAAAACCTAATCTTTAAAGGTAGGTCCGTCCAACTTTGATACTGAGAATTGTAGATACTTTTAAACTTGGTTCTTATTAGTATAGGTGTTTGTGTCTTATCTCTACAGATAGCCTTTGACTTGCGCTTGGTTGAAAATGTTAGCGTATTTTAATTATACAATGCGTCATTGGACTTTTTTAATTTTAGGTACTGTTTTGAGTGTTAACTTATAGTTTTCCTGTATGAAGCTGATTAGTATTTATTTATAGAAAATTCTTCGCTTAAACGGAAATCTCAAAATTAATCTTAAATGTTATTTCGTGATAAACAAACCTGACCGCAGACCGCATCCAGTGTTGCAAATCCTTTAGTATCAATAAAAAATACATAAAGGAATATAAACAAAAAATAACTCACTTTGTTACATGAGACAATCCAATCTATCCAGTTTCAAAAACGAGCTCGTATGGATTTCAATATGCAAATATGAGGAGCTAATATTATTGGCTTTGTATAAGCCCGCAAAGTCCATTCACCGCTACATCGTCGGGTACAGGTGTCTCCCGCCCGTCTATCTATTCTAGGCCGGGTGACATCGCTTGCGTCACTTGCGCACGCGACGACCCTCGGTAGGGTGGCCAGGCTACTAACGGGACACCCCACCACTTTCCCACCACTACAACTCTTGTAAGGATCTAGAGCTTGGTCTCCAATGAAACCCAACCAGTAAAGGTTGACCATAGGGGGATAGGCTACTAGCCAAACTCGGACATAGTAGTGTTTGAATCAACTACAAACTACAAGTTTAACTAAAACTATCTGAATTTGATATTTCAGTCTGGTAATTGAGAGGTTTTTAACCTTTATATTAGTAAAAAATAGGTATCACTAATTCCTCGCTGTCGTCATTTGGTTTTATTACATTTTTATTCAGTCGTAAAGCTGGTCACCCCAACCGCAATGCGTATACGCAATCGAGTGACAGATTTAGTACAATAACAAGATCGGTAACGGTAACACACAATATTTATATTTTAGGAACACATACATTATGTTGGTAAATATAAAGTGACAATAGAAATACATTATTCCTCAAGTTCTTTCTAACANGATTAGTATTTATAGAAAATTCATCGCTTAAACGGAAATCTCAAAATTAATCTTAAATGTTATTTAGTGATAAACAAACCTGACCGCAGACCGCATCCAGTGTTGCAAATCCTTTAGTATCAATAAAAAATACATAAAGGAATATAAACAAAAAATTACTCACTATGTTACATGAGACAATCCTAACTATCCAGTTTCAAAAACGACCTCGTATGGATTTCAATATGCAAATATGAGGAGCTAATATTATTGGCTTTGTATTAAGCCCGCAAAGTCCATTCACCGCTACATCGTCGGGTACAGGTGTCTCCCGCCCGTCTATCTATTCTAGGCCGGGTGACATCGCTTGCGTCACTTGCGCACGCGACGACCCTCGGTACGGTGGCCAGGCTACTAACGGGACACCCCACCACACTTTCCCACCTCTGCAACTCTTGCAAGGATCTAGAGCTTGGTCTCCAATGAAATCCAACCAATGAAGGTTGAGTAGTCTCAGGGGATAGCTAACTATACCATAGGAGGGTAGGCTAGGCTACTAGCTAAATTCAGACATAGTAAAGTTTGAATCAACTACACTGGTCATCATAAAAATCGACCCACCCGCGACAAGCACTTTCAAACGTATGCATCCCCACTTCCCACCAATATTACTATACTATGTTACCATTTAAAAGCCTAGTTCTAAACTTCATTTCATTAAAAGAAAGGTTTTTACCCCAAAAATGTGTCTGTATAAGAATCCAGAGCACTTTTTCAAAAAATAGGTAGTTACGCTTGAGCCAACTTTTATGGCTATAAAACTGTTAAGTTTGGATTAATCGCTATCCATCTGTTAAAGAGGACACGTGAGATCATAATTTGGTTTTATAACCATAAAAATTGGTCTAATTGATCCCAGAGGTGAGCCCAAAGTGAGGTCTTTTTTCAAGTTTTTCAAGTCACATTTATTGTATATGTTAATCGTTTATTAGGAAATTAAATGATTTTTTCTTTAAGGATATTTATTGGGCTTTCAAATAACACCAATACTGTTGGGACACAATGATTGTGTCAGTAGAAACGACTTTTCCTGTAAAACGTAGGTGGGCCGATTTTTGTGATGACCAGTGTATATTAAATTTCAGAATTTGAAAGTCAAAATCGGTTATCGCTACAGGGCTTGAGCACATCTTTTCCTTGTACTCCATACTCCTTACCTGTGTTTCACAAATAAATTATTTTGCTAGTATATGTAGAGCAAAGTTAGTAACTATTCCTTGATAATAGTAAAAAGTGCCTATCACTAATTCCTCGCTTTTATTTGGTTTTGCTAGTTTTTTTTTTCTAAAGTAAAGCTGGTCACCCCAACCGCAATGCGTATACGCAATCGAGTGACAGATTTAGTACAATAACAAGATCGGTAACACACAATATTTATATTTTAGGAAAGCATAAATTATGTTGGTAATTATAGAGTGACAATAGAAATACGTTATTCCTCGAGTTCTTGCTAACACATTCACAGTCGTGAAATCGGAATACAAACTTGATTTCCGGAGCATTATATTGATTTTATTTATACTTTACTTCACTAATTACATGTCTATTATAAATCATTTAAATTTTTTACAAGTTTTCATAATGATCTATAACACCGTAATGATTTGATAATAATATGTTTAGAGTTGTCTTACAGTTACATTAAGTAGAAAAATAACCTTTTACTTTTATTTAACTCTATCACTATTATTTTGATATTTAATTTTCTATTTGGTACACAAATGTGACTGTCTGTCTAACCCACATCCAATTTATTTCGGGTTTCTTTCCAAGAAATCTAAGCTTTGATTGAGCGATTACAAAGAAACTATTGAATCGCGCATTAAGGAAGGGATAGCCGGTATCTTTTCATCTGCTGGGCGCCATCCAAATATTTGACACGGTCTATATTTAGAGAACAAACAACTCTGATAAATCTATGATGCTGATAGATTTATTATTATCTACGTCAACGTACACTTGCAAGCAAAAATATGAAATCACCCTATTTGTTTTGAGCGACCGGCCTTAAGAACTGTCAGACAGAAGATATATAAAAATGGTACCATTTTAAAGGTGATATTTTAAACCTACTTTAAATTGATACCATAGATAAGTAGGTACCTACATTACATAGTCATTCAGTTCTTAAGATGACTCGGAACAAAACACGTAAAGTACAAGTGTGACGATAACAACAACAGTATTGTGTTTACTTGAAATGTCATTGAAGAGACGACCAATTAATTTTTAATTGACTACATTTTGTATTTGTGTGCAGACGACGCCACATTCAACTAAACGTTTTTTGCAGTCACTCCTAATACAAAACAATATAAGATGCCATAGTTCTTAGCTTATTGTGCTGTCTCTACTAATCTTCAAGAGCTAATCAGGAGTTCTATAATCTGATGAAAACCACATAACTACTTAAAGCAGTTGTAAAGACTTCTTTCGTTAATGTTTTAGTAGCCATTTTAGATGCGATGTGGGCGCTTCATGTCTGTTTAATGATCATCGTATCTAATTTACGATAAGCTATTTAAAGGCAGAGCTTTTTACAGCTATTTTATGGCTTTAAAAACGCTGAAAATATGCAGGAAATTGGACTTAGTTTATATCGATTCAAAAGAAAACTTTCTTTCTGTAAACAAAACTTTGCCTACTACCGATAACACTATCTGAAAACTTTATTGTTTCCAATTTAAGATAATAGTTGATTGGAAACACTAACGAGGCTAGTATTTTCTAACGTTTTCTTACATAATTGGACTTTTTATCTCTATTATTTTAAAATTTAATATTGTAAAAGTAATAAAATGTTCTTTGGAAGTAATATCTTGCAATTACCTACAAATCCTGATTGTGAAGTAAAAGAAAAATTATGTTATACGTGCTGGGTTAGTTTTTCTAAAGCAAACGTGGGAAATATTTTAACAATTAAATAACCCACAGTGCGGAGGTAAAGTATAGCAATATTTAATACGTAATCAGCTCTATCTGTCCTCTGTTTTAATTAATGGGTAAACTGATTAACGTTGCCAAGCCATAACTTATTATAGAGATAGTTGAACTCTAGAAATGACATCATAGAACATAGCTAGGTTATTAAACTTTTCATCTCGAAAAACTAC